TCGTACATTTGTCGAAGAATGTCATGAATGGATGTAAGTACAGGGACAGTTTCAGCTGCATTTGAATAATATTAATTTTATTGCATGGTAATTTGCAACCGTTGTCTGGATCCGTACTTTCAATCCCTCGACATTTTCTTATTCTGTCTTATTCTGTGCAGGTAAATTTCGAAAATTTTACGACCGGGTTTGTCTAAACTCTGGTTCAAAGAAAAAATGTTTTATGTTGGGGAAACCTGCGCCATATTCCATAACCCGGGACCGACATCATTCAACCATCTTACCTTACCTTACTCGTGTACCTTGAAAGGTATTAAGCTGAAAACGAAGCAGCTAAATGCACTTTATTTCCGAAACAAAGCAACGAACGAGTCGCCGATAATCCTTTGCGTGAATACATCCAACATCTCTTTGATTTCCCTTGTTTTTTAGCCTTCTGACTACAATTGTGCGTTCCACATGGAATTTGTACCGCTACCGATGAATAAGTATCGAGGAGGGAAGACAAAAAAAAAATACATAAATAGATATTTACAAAGTAACGTTTCCTTGGATCCTTCGTTGGATTGTTTATTAAATTTGATGAATATTTATAAACACATTCAATCCAACATCAAAAATCGAAATAGATGGAATTCAATAGTGAATATGGATTTTTAATGCAAATAATAATGATAATTTTCGATGTTAAATATATTAAAATGATAGTAAATCGTATATACAGAAAGAAAATCAGATATGCATTTTAATATTTTTTTCTATCTTTTGCATTTCTTAGTAAATGATGCGATTACACGTATCAACCGGTATAGCATAAGAAATTTATATGATGCGTACGTTTATCCGCATTGAATATATCCGTGTTAAAATATTCTATGTGTAATAAATTCTAAATTTAAAAATACTAAGTCTATTTTGAAGATAAGAGAATTTTTTTTTTTTAGATATTGTAATGATTTTAGAAATGTAGTCATGATAGCTGCTCGAATGAAAATTTCACCCTTTAAGAATTGATTCTATGCTTATTTTATTAAAGTAGTATTTTTTAAAGATGTTTAAAAAAAAATATGTTCCAACCAAAAAAAAAAAGAAAGATCTAAGATAGATATGAATTAATATCTTTCTAATACGTCTATGAATCGATCTAAAGCCCGGAACAAGATTGTTCTTATTGATTTATATCGATATATTTTAAATTTGATTATATGTTTTGAATCCACATACGCGAGTTACGATTTCACTATTTGGCTCCGCCTATAAAGATACATATATTAAAGCTTTTGATCCTTTTGAACATTCGTCTGAATGCAATATCATAGGAATTTCCATGATGGGCAGTCCTAAGCTGAAGACATACCCTGGAGCAACCGGTTCGACCACTCTGAAATGAAACCGGGACTCGTCTTTCGAGTAGTATGTATATGAAAAATTAGAAACGACAGATCCAAAAATGGTAGTTCGATCTTGAATCATTGATAGGAATTTTGATAGATTATCTTTTAAAATTTATATATAAATTAAATATTATTAAATGAAAATTAAATTTTCATTTATGATAAGAACAATTTTCGTCCGATTCCAATCTAATAATGTTTTTATTTATAGTTTACTTTAGAAATGATGCAAATTTTATTAATATCAATGCAATGTTAATAGATATAAATATTATTAATTAAATATTAATTCGTAGATTAATTCGTCCCATAATGAAAATTAACATGGATTAGATTATATTTCTAAAAATAAAATAAAATACTAAGTCCATTTTGAAGATATTTATTTTTTTTTTCAAATTAATCAATATTAATCAATATTATAATCAATATTATTTATTTTTTCAAATTTTTGAATTTAATGTTTTTATATTAATGAATAATTTTGAATTTAATGTTTCCACTATAAGTCCATTTTGAAGATATTTATTTTTTTTTTTCAAATTAATCAATATTAATCAATATTATAATCAATATTAATTTTTTCAAATTTTTGAATTTAATGTTTTTATATTGTAAAATAATATTTACAATATATGATTTTTCGAATACTTAAAAATCATTTAGATACAAATTAAAAAATTAAATAATAATAATAATAATAAAAATATAATAAGATATAAGTATTTACTTACATGCCATCATGGGACAAATGTATCTTGTAGACACACTCTCGATTTTGAATTATAAAAATTATTTGTATAAAAATATATTTATTTTTATATAAAAATTTGTAAAAGTAAAATCGAAAATGAAAAATTTATACTTTTTACAATAAAAGTTAACTCATATTATAATTATAAAAGAGAAATAATGAATATTTAATTAATATTTTGTATCTTGTCGATAGTCGCGCCTAGAGCAAGTATAAACAAGGAGAACGAATAATGAGAAAAGGACAGAGATAGAGTAAAAATATTGAAATCAACGCCATCTTCAGAGTGCCGCAAATGAAACTCAAATATAGACAAAGAGCAATAATAAGAGAAAGATAGAGTTAGTATAAGAATTGACTATCAATGTCATCTTCTGATAATTCCTGAAAGTATTTCATCAAAAGTAAGATAAGGTAGAAAATAAATGAGAATTGACAATAAGTGCCATCTTTTGATAATTCCTAAAAGTATTTCATCAAAAATAAGATAAGGTAGAAAGAATTGACAATAAACGCCATCTTTTAAGATTTTTTAGAAGAATAATTCCAAAGAAGTACTTTTAAAATATAAGAGATAGCGCTAGCTGTTAATTCTTATTATATCTATCCTTCTTCCACTATTTTCTGTCCTTTCTTTATGAGTTTCATTTGCGGCACTCTGAAGATGGCGCTGATTTCAATATTTTTAATATATCTCTGTCTTTCTTCAACTATTCTCTTTCCTTGTTTATATTTGTTTTATCTGCAGCATTAAAAAATGGCGTTAACAGTCAATTTTTATCTTTTTACTTTTAGCAATGAAATATTTAATAAACGAATTAATAAATAATTTTATAAATAAATAAATTAATTAATAATTAGATAGATAAATAATTAAATGAATATATAATATATGAATACATAAATCAATAAATAAATAGATAAAATAATAAATAAGTGAATAAGATATATGAAACAACAATAAATAATAATAAATAAAAAATAAATAATTAAAAAAAATAAACAAAATAAATAAAAAATGAATAAATTATTATATAAATCGAAAAATAAGTGAAAAAATAAAAAAAATAAATAAATTAATTTTAAAAATAAATTTAATAATATTAAAAATTAAATAATAAATAAATTTATAAAAAAATACAAAAAATAATATCATATAAATATAAATATATTTTTATAGTTTAATATATCAATTTTTAATTGTAATAAGTTGTTACATTATTAACAATAATGTAATAATCATTATTAACAATAATAACATTATTAAAAATATTAAAATTGATAAGTTATTATATTTATATAATATCCATATATTCGAAAAATTAGTTTTAATATAAACGTATACATTCGCTTTTCATAACGATTATGATTGTATATAAATACGAGGCAAATTGCGAGAAAGTCGTCATTTACTAACGAGCTCGCTTCGCGAATAGATCAAAATTATAATACTTTGATTAAATTTTTATAATACAAAGAATAATTTTCTAACATTTATTTTTATATTATTTATTCTAAATTAATATTTAATAATATATGTAATAATATTATAATTATATATTATTTATTAATTTTATTTTTTAATTTATATTTATTTATTACTGTATTTACTTATTCATTTATAAATATTATAAATATAATATTATAAATATTATAAATATTTGTTTCTTGATTTAAATAAAACTTAACTTATAGACAAGAAAAGCAAATAAAAAAGAATAGAAAAATTCTTAATTCTTATTTTATTCCTGTTTTTAAAGAGATATCTTTAACAAAGAGATAGTACTAACAATTAATTCTTATCCAATTTTTATTTGCTCTTTTTATTTATATTTGAATTCATTTATGATATTTTAAAAATGGCACTAATTTCTTAATTTGTACTCTATCTCTGTTCTTCTTTTATTATTTGCTTTTGTAATTTATACTTGTTTTGCAAAATTTTCTATCTATTATAAAATAATAATAAGGTACAATATAAACATATATATATATTTTTTATGAAACTTTGTATCATATATTCTAAATAAAAACTAGCTATCTTGAAAAAAGACAATATATCTTATATAATAATACATAGAAACACAAAATGGAATAGAAATTGTTAGATTGGATATTAATTCATTGAAAAAATAATTAGTTAAAAATTTCAAATAAAATTACTTATTAAAATGTTGAATTGTTGAATAATACTTATTCGTAATTATTATAGTTCCATATATGATCCATTGTTCATATAACCTTGATCGTTTGGCACTAGTTATTTGCAGTTATTCGATGTTTTGAACATGAAAATGATTTGTAAAATTATGAAATTTGATGTTTTATATAAAGTAAATTGAAATAACTTTAATCTTAATTTCAATTATTTTGCTTATCTATGACCGTCACATTCTATTTCTTATTCGTACTTCATCTAACACGAATTTAAATTGTTTATCAGTTAATAAATAAATCAATATTTATCAATGTATATTAATTTTTGTATTTATTTGAATCTTCTCTAAAATCTTCTCTAGAATCTTTCGAAAGTATTCTACAAATATATATATATATATAAATTATGAAAATAACAAAGCGGTCAGATGACTTTTATATTCTTATGACAAGCAATATATATCATATGTATTCTGTATATTCCTCGTTTATGATTATGATGATATATTTTGATTTTTTGTGCGGTCAGAATATTTAGAAAAATTTTATTAAGTGCTAGGTCTATCTTGTACCTTATCTGTGCCATTAGAATGCAAGATAAAAATATGGGATGATAGGTCTATTCTATATTTCGTCTATGCTACAAGTAATTCTAAAACATAATATAAATTTAATTTTAAATAATATAAGATATTGCATGAAATTTGTGTCACATTGTTCCATTGAATCTGTATTTTTATATTAATTTACAAAAGTTAAAAAAAATATTTTAAAAACTGAAAAAATTAAAATTTGTCTATTGAAGATTAATTCCATCTATTACTGATAGATAGTACATCGATATCAAAATTATACAATTTTCTAAACTATTTATAGTTTAAAATAGTTTAAAAATTATAAACTATAAATAGTTTAAACTATTTATAGTTTAAAATAATTAGATTATGTATAATTGTAATTAATAAATATTTTTATTTTATTTCGAATAGTAAAAAAGGGTATGTTTCTTCATGATAAATATAAATCAAGAAAAATATTAAATATCATCAACAATGCAGAAAGAATTAAATAACATAATTGAAAAATCATTACAAAAAGCTTATGATCATGATAGAACTGGGAATGTAGGAAAGGCATATGCATATTATACTGTTGTAGCAGAATTATGTCCTAGGAAAAGATCAGAAATTGAAGAAGCATTTGTTGATGTTCTCTGTATGTTATTATTATATCTATAATTGTTTTTTTTTTTTTAAATTTAAAGATATTATTTTTTAGGTCAATGGGGAATTCAATTAGCAAGAGAAAATAGATTTGCAGATGTTTTTTTATGTTACAAGCGTTCATTAGATATTTATCCAAATAATTCTCGTATGTTAAATAATTTTGCAGCTCATCTTTTAAGGTAAGGTAAAACTCATTGCTTATGTAAATTTATTATCAATCAATTTAAAATTGATTTTTTGATATGACAGATATCATGACCGCTAAAATTCCTTATAATGAGGAAAAAATATATTGTTAAAGGAATAGTGATCCAATAGAGGCAATAAAATTCTTAAAGAGAGCTCTGCAAGCCAACCCTAATTTTTTACCTGCTGAAAGAAACTTGCAAAATGCATTTAGCATGGCTGTAGATAGATGGCATTTTCCAATGTTGAATGATAAACATAGAAATGCTGCATTTGAATGTGTAATTCGTAAAAGAATTTCTCAAGGATATGATACTGTATTAGATGTGGGAACTGGTACAGGGTTATTAAGTCTATATGCACAAAATGCAGGTGCCAAAGAAATTTATGCTTGTGAATGTTCACCAGTAATGTTAAAAATTGCAAAGAAAGTATTTGAAACTAATGATGCTAAGAACATAATATTATTGCCCAAACTTTCTTCAGATCTTGTAATTCCTACAGATATTAGAGAAAGGTTAGTTTTATAATAATAAATAAATAATTAATATAATAAAATTAAATTTATTTTATATATAAAAAATTTTAATTTTATTCAAAATATTTTCCTTTTTTTAGAGTAAAATTAGTAGTTACAGAAACTTTTGATGCTGGTTTATTTGGAGAACATGTGATACCATCCATGATAAGTGTACATTTGAATGTTTTGGATAAAAATGGTATAGTGATACCAATGGGAGCTACACTTTATGTAGCTGCTGTTGAATGTGAATATATAAGAAACAAATCAGCTGTGATTTTTGATAAAATAAAACATTTTTGTCCTTTAAACTTTGATAATATATCTGTATTATTAGATGAGGAATATTATGATACGGAAAATTTAAAAAATGTGGATGTTACTTATATAGTAGAACCTACTGCTTTTTTTACTATTAATTTTAATGATTTATCAGATTTACAACAATTTAATATTGATGGCATAAAAAACATAATAAATATAACATGTAAATGCAATGGTACTATAGATGGTTTAATAACATGGTTTAAATTACATCTTGATGAAGAAATAACAATAGATACCTCAGAAAAGAAATCATGTTGGCAAGTTGCTATTTTTCCTACAATACCAAAATTATTGAAGAAAGATGATATAATTATAATTAAAGGAGAAATGTTAAAAGGAAAACTTAAATGTTCATATACATTGAATAATTGTCAATATGATAACTATGATTATAAATTTTTATACCGTTTACCAAAAGAAGTTGTAACATTTTTAAATGATACTGAATATATAAAATTACTTACTGAAGTTAGTAAATCATTTGTTAACAAAGAAATACACAGTATTTTAGATACTTCTCCATTTCCTATTTATGGATTAATGTTATTAAAAGAAAATAAATACAGTGACGTTTTATATTATAAAAATGAAAATATAATGTTTCAACAATTTATTAAACAAATAGCAGAGCAAAATGGTTTCAAGAATAAACTATGTATTGTATCGAAATATAATCATATTAAACATTCTTTAGATACAATATTTATTCATGATTTTGACATTAAAGGAGAATTAAAAGATTGTAGTGAAGAACACAATCATGAATTTTTCAGGTAAATTTAAAAACTATACTAATTACATAAAATATATAAAATAATTAAACATATGATTACATTTTAATTTAATTTAAAAAAGATCATAATTTAATTGAAAACATATGGTATTTTTACAGATGTTTACTTAAACCAAATGGCATTTTATTGCCTGAACAAATATTTTTTGTAGGCCAACTTGTATTTTCGGATGATTTGCCAAATATGGTTTATGTAGAAGATAAAAATTTACAAAATATGTCGACAATTACATTTAATACATCAAATTTTGAAAAGGTATATTTATAAAAAAATATATTTAACATGTTAGTTTCTATTAAACATATTAATATATCATATGATATCTAATTTAGCTAAATATAATAATATTTCTCTAATATATTATGTAATTTCATTATATATTATATATTATTTTTACACTATTATAAATTGTTTTTGAAAAAAAAAATTGCACAATATATCAAAAATATTTTTTTTCAGTAATACGATTTTAAAATTTTAAAATTTATTTGATTAAAAAATTATAGAGATAGAAAAATTATATTATTTAATATATTGATTATAAAATTATATATATTATTATAATATAAAAAATTGTTATGAAAATATTTGCTAAATTAAAATACATTCATAAAAAATATTATAAAAAATAGTATATAATTATTTTACAATTATCTTTTTTTTTTTCAGGAAGTTCATAATACTTTTAATAGTACGACTTCTTATGGTATTGCACAATATATTAATGAATTTAAGGTAAAGTACAAAATGTTACAAAAAAAAATAATTAACTTATAAATATCTACTGTATCTATAATATTACAGATAAATCAAATTTTCGATTTGAATTCAAGTTTATATTTATATGAACCTTTATCTGATGTAAATGTATTGATAGAAATGAGAGAAAATGAAGTTGCTGAACGTGTGATAAATTTTGGAAAAATTAGTGCCACTAATAATAAATTATTGCCAAATGCTTTAGTATGTTGGTATAAAGTTAGATTAACATTAAATCACAATTATGATACAAAAAGAAATGGATCATTTATGAATCATACAGCAATATTATTAGAAGATGAATTAAAAAATTCTATTTTACAAGGTAATGAGGTATGTATAAAAGTTCAGCAAGCTGAAGGAATAATTCGAATAAAAGTTAAATAATTTAAAATACATACAATTTTATATGATTATAATATACTTAAAATGTACATTTGCTTACATACTTCAAAAATTGAAGTATAATATAAAATAAGAACACCATGTACATACAATAAAATTTATACATATATAAAAAATAAAAAATTATTTATATCAATTTATCCTATATATTTCCATGTAATAATATGATCATCAATTCTTTTTTTCTAAAAATAAAACTACAATTTACTTTTCAAATCATTACTATTTAGAAATTTACATATATGAAATGCTATTCTTTCAGGATAATTATTATGTACATCATGATTTCCATTTACAGTGATTACAGAAATTTTATTTTTCTCACAAACATTAAGAATTGTATTTAATAATTCTAATAAAACATTTACATGACTGGAATTATCTGCTACAATTACTAATGTTTTAGTTGCATATTTAATAAAAAATTTCTTTTGTTGTTTTATTGTAAAAAATGGTTTTATCATAAATCTTAATCTTGTATCACGATTGTATTTGTACAAATTGTTAACTTTAGTAACAGCACGTTTAAACATAGCTTCTGCAGCATCTAATTTTAATGTTTCTTGTCTTTTAAATTTTAAAGCATATATTATTTCATCTTTAGTGTAAAGTGTTCCAGAATCTTTAGTATAAGCATCTAGATTATATTTATCTTGAATATGAGAAATAACATTCTCAATAGGAATAGATATAAAACCATCAATTGCTATTATTTTTTCAAATCTTCCAGGATATAAAATACTGAAATATATCCCAATATGAGCTCCAAAACTATGTCCTATATATATGCAGGTTTTCCATTTCAATGCATTTAAAACAAGCAATATTGAATATACATAATCAAAAAAATGTAATGGTGTTCCATATGATAATGGAGATGACAATCCATGTCCTGGTAAATCTATGTTTACATATTGATATTCTTGTGGAAGAAGTTCAACTAACCTATCAAATGATCCTGCATTATCTAAAATACCATGTACCATTAAAATTTTCTTTTCTTTCAAGGGACCATAAACTTTGGCTGCAATATGACCCCATGGTACTGGAAACTTTATTTCTATTGATGTTTTTTGTATTTGATCCATATTGTAATTTGAATCTAAATAATCTTCGTTTGTTATTTTATTTTTCTGTAAAAATAAAATTTTTTTATTGAAAAAAATGAAAATATATTAATATTAATAAAATAATAATTTGTTTCTTAATTATAAAATAATTATTATTACAAATATTGTAATTATATTTGAAATAAATACACATATACATACATTTGAAATAAATATAAATACACATATTAAGAATCGAAGATCTGAAGAAAAAGAATAAAAATTTTGCAAATCATTATTTAAAATGAAAATAAAATGATAAACTATATATATATGTATTATATATATGTGTGTGTGTATGTGTGTGTGTATATTAATACATAAATTATTATTACTTATCTAATTTTATATATATGTTTGCTATCTATATATCGATTAACAAATCGAATCTTCAGAGCTTAACCAAATAGCTTAACAGATTTGCAATTTTAATTATTGAATAACAAAATATTAATATCAAAAATACAAAATATTTATAAAATATATCAATTTTTATCAATATAAATTTTGCTATATATTTAATTTTCATGAAAATGAATTGTGTTTGTGTCAATTTATATTTATATTAACAACAAATAATTCCACGAAATTTGTGAAAATGTAATTTTTTATTTTATATCTCAGAATTTTAAAAGCTATCATGATTTTCTTAAATTTTAATAATATAATTTTATTTGCATTCGATAATTTATTGTGTTAAATAATGTATATAATAAAAAAATATAATTATATTTTTATATAAATTTATGTAAAATAATATATGTATATTAATTTCTATAAAAAAAAACAATCACTTTTCAATTATATATTTCTAATATATTGATTATTTTGATTTTAAAATTTAGAAATCAAACATTATAATGTTTTTCTTTCAACATTCTCAACAACTCTTCTTTCAACAACTCTTTTTTTAAATGTTTTTATAGATTTTTACATCTAGAATCCGAAAATTAAAGCATCTATTGTCTGAATTTAATGATTTAAAAGTTATTTACGTGTAAAGTTTCGCATTTTTGTGAATTATATGATATATTAAATCTTTTTATTCAATTTGATTCATGATTCAATAAAAATCTCAGTACACAATTAAAAAATTTCATATGATGCAATTAGTATTATAATTATAATTATTTAATCAATAAAAAATATATTATCATAAATCATAAATAATATCCAAATTTATTGTTAATTTAATATAAATTAAATTAAAATTTAATTCTCAATCATCATTGTAAAATGGCAATACTAGAACATAATTTATATTTTATTAATTTGAATTGGTGATAATATATTTTGAATTCTTTTTTTAAATAAATTTTAATTTAATATGTGTTGACTTCTATTATTAATCATACATTAGATAAAATTTCAATATGAGATTATATAAATTGTAAAAATTTTTTTACAAATATAGATAAAATTTTTACAATTTATATAATTTCATATTGGAATTTTATTTAATATATGATTAAATAGAAGTTTTCAATTATTTTTTACAAATAATTTTTAAATTATTGAGTTATATATTTTTATTGAATTATATAATTTTTTTAAGTATTATTTTTGAATTCTGGATATCAAAATTTATAAAAACATAAAAAAATTCAAAAATTTTTGTGATTTTTAATAATTTTTAATAAATAATAAATGATTTTATGTAAGATTTAATATATTAAATAGTATATGAAATATTCAAAACTAAATAGCATGATAAACAAAAATACTTAAATTAATACATAAGAAAATTAAATAGAAATAAATTATATTTTGAATAATAAATTAAACTTTTTTTAATATAAAAAAATTTAGATATAATAATCTTTTTGAGAAAAAAATAATATTTATATGTGTAGTATTTAATGTGATTAACTTTTTTAAAAACAAATCACCTATTATAATAATGAATAGTTTATTAACTTTTATTATAATAATAATTATTTTTAAAGGAAGATAACATCATTTGATCGCATAAACTAAATGGATGGAGCTCTGAGGAGAAAATGAAAACAAGAATTTTTAATCTGTTTTGGTATGATAAAAGTTATTATAATAATATTATTTTTTAAAACTATTTATAAACTGTATATATTTAAGATAATTATAAATAAATTTGATTAGATTTATTATAAATTAATTTTATCTTTAAATGCCATATTTATTTGAATTTATTGTTTTTATAAATGAAATGATTATAAAATGATAAAAAAATATATTTAATTTCAGAAAACAATACAACTTTAAAACAAAATTTATCTTTTATTAAATGTTATATAATTATGTAAATAATAATAAGATTAAAATTTAATATTAATATTATTAATTATAGTAATAAAATATTTTTTTTTAACATTTTAATACATATTTATTTTATAATATACATTTTAATATACATTTTAATTTTAACATTTTAATTTAATACATTATATTTTTAATATACATTTTAATATATTATTATTAAATTATTAAATTTTAATTTAGATTATGTGATTTAATATTGATGTAAATAATTAGCAATTATATTTAAATTTATAATTTTTTTTTAAATTAATGAATTTTAAATTAAATAATTGTTATATATTTATGTGATATATTTTGATCATATATCATATCTTTTTCTTAGATTCTTCATATTAGATTTTTGATATGAAATAATAAGAAGTGAAGAATTAAAATTTCGTTTATACCGCCCAGTTTGTGTAATAACAATGATTCATATCAGATGGCGTTGCAATTTGTACATCACTTGAATATACAGGAGTTTTCTGGCTCTGCTTTGTCATGGACATGCAAGCTTCTAATGGTTCGTACTTGTTTTCCTACGCTATGTGATATGTTCGCGCGTTAAATTACATCGTAATTTATGATCTTGGGATTGAATACTTTACACAGGATATGGTGTATCTTCAAAGAGAATCTTCTTCTTTTGAGACATGTTTCCCAGTGGAAAAGGTTGAATAAATGTTGATTTTCAAAGCTTCGGCGTCGCTTTGAGAAATAAATCATATTGAGTTTTTTTTTACATTTTATATTATATAGAATAGATTTTAATTATAATATTATCAATTTAAAAAACTGTTTGTATATTATATATTGTATAGTACATTGTCGTTAAATTTTGTATATACTAAGAATCGTCTTATTTATTAAGTATCTTAATTTCATTAAATTTATTATATTTGTATAAGATAATTTATTTCATGTTGAAATGTTATTATTTCAATTATAATAATTCGTTATTTGACACTAAAAAATATTAATGTACATAATTTGTCTAAAAGTAATATTTTAATCATTATGTGAATATAGGAATGGATATTTGTATGAATTCAGTGTATGCTTCCATCCCTGGATTACCGGAATTAGGGATGGTATGGATGGGAGATATGATGGTACATGGAGAACCAACACATGAACTTATGTTGGATCCACGTCAAGCTGAAAGTCCATTCTTTTCTCATGGTTCAAATCCATATGAAGACATTAGGAATCATCAAATTGCACCTACAACTATGGTACGGTATCTACCACCTCAGTTTCCTAATGAATGTTCAGAACCTGATGAAGCTATGGAAGCTGTTGATGCCCAAGAAATACAACAAGTAAATTTACTTTCTTAAAATATGATATATATATATTAAACTTATGATATGTATATAATATGAAAATTTTATGCCACATTCATTATTATTTTCTAGGAATATGATTCACAATCTGAAAGGCAAGAAATGACAGAATATTTGACATTAGAAGATTATATGGGTGATGAAGAACGGGAACAAGTTGTAAACAATGCTGCAACACAAACTACTCAGGACAATCGTAATAGAAAAATAAAACCTATAAAACATCCTGGATTGGTTTTAAAGACACCAATTGCATATCAACCACATACAGATTTAAATTTTATTCCCATTCGTAAGGATGGTATAGGTAAAATATAGATTAAATACAATATATTTTAATATATATTTTAAATAAAAATAGAAATTATATATC